TTGACATTTAATCCTCAGATTCTTTATTAACATTTACACAGTTCCTCTCTCAAGAAATAGTTAATCTTGTAGCAGGGAGAGAAATCAGGGGCAAAGTGACATGGATCCAATCCTGTGCACTCAAATCCTGCTTTGCTTCATCAGTTCTTTCATGGTCCCTCATAGAACATTATCTCAATATCCTTTCTCTGTTCACAAAATCAAGAAAAAGTTAAGAGAGCTGTAAGGCTATGTGATGAAATGATAGGCATAGCAAAATGTGAAGCAATAGGATCAATTAATGGAGGGAATCTTAGGTTCTCCTTTCTAGATGCAAGTATTACCATGAATCTGTAAGTGTCAGAGGTAAAAGTCATGTAATGGAGGAGGAAGTTTTTACACAACACATTCTGAAGTAAGCCACAATGAACCTGCAACAGCTAAGGGTGTAGCAGGCTAACACTGTCATTGTTCTAGGAGTAATTCTGGTCAGGTCTGAGCTTTCTTGAGTCATGTTGGACCCAAAGAGGATTCACAGCAAATGTGTCAACTCCATCAGCATAGTGTGTCAGCTCCGCCAGCATAGGATGAATGCAGAAATGGCCCCAGGTCCATCCACTTAACTGAGTTTAATTTTCTTCTTTTGGGGGGGGGTGCTTTTTGAGACAGGGTCTCCCTATAGCCCCAGCTGGCCTGGAACTTACTACGTAACCAGGCTGGCCTTGAATTCACAAAGATCTGCCTGCCTCTGCCTCCCAAGTGCTGAGATTAAAAGCATGTGCTACCACGTCTGGCTTGAGTTTAGCTTTCAAAAGCTTCTGAAATCAAGGCTGGAGAGATGGCTCAGTGGTTAAGAGCACTGGTTGTTCTTGCAGAGGACCTGAGCTGGGTTCCAGGCACCCACATGGCAGTTAACTGCTGTCAGTAACCACAGTTCCAAAGGATCCAACATCCTCTTTTGGTCTCCACAGGGACTGCACTCATGGGTGCCCTTATACACATGCAGGCAAAATATCCTTACGCATAAAAATTATCTTTTAAGTACTGTTAAAATCATTTAGAAAAAAAAATCCACATTTAAAATTTAGTTATTTCCCAGGCAATTCGTTATGTGGGCTCATTCTACATAGAAAAGATTAAGTGCTTGTGTGGAATAATCATTTTCACCTTCAACAAATTATATTCACATCATGTAATGATTAAAACCCGATTAAACATGTCACAAAATAAGCACATCCAGGCCAGGATGTCCTGCAACAGCAGCTCTTCGGCTACCCTCATCCAGCCTGTTGGTCCTCTATAGCTGCTGCGGTCTAACAATAGGCAGACAAAACAAAGCCAGGAAATCAATAAACACACTTTACATTTTAATCTAATAGCATGGCTATTAGTTTTATTTATATAAGAAAAATAACCTAGAGTTAAAAAAAAAAAAAGAGTCCATTGGCCTTACTTCTTGGTTAAGGCTTTGAGTTCCCACCCCTCACCTGAGGCTCAAAGGCTCTCCAAATGACTGAGCTCCAGTATTTGGGTCTAGTAGTCTACAACACAAACTACTTGCTACTCCCAGGTCAGGTTTCCCCATCTGCTGGGCACACTCGGAAGTCCTGTCTCCATACCACTGCACTGAGTGACTTCCAGATTTGCCTTCTCCAACCTCCTAAATCCATTTCCCAGTTGTATAGCTGCTGCAATCCTCCCAGCACAGGATTCAGGATTCAGGATTTTTCTGATGCATTTACGGCCTCTCAGTCCCCAGCTGCTCTTCTTCCCTTAAGTTCCCACAGCACTTAAAGCCCCGTCTCAGTTGGCACTTAACTTTCACCTGCTGTTTCTGACACCTGATATGGTCAGATCTTATCTCTCAGGGTAAACTGTCTGCTCTTAGAAAGAAGAAACCAGATTCCTATCTTCCACTGCATAATCGCCCAGGAGGCCTAACATGGCTGCTTTGCGTCATGGATTCAGTGCGCAAGTCTCCCTTTATCCTTATAAATTTAAGGACAGAAAGATGAAAGTGGAGGGAAAGGGGGAAGAGGGTAAATTTTGTAAAGATCTAGTGAAAAGATCTCTCTGACGCTTTTAGTTATCTGTACTTTGAAAGGGGGGATTATGATCTCAAAAGAAAGCATCAAGACAGAACTTTATTTCTTGAGAGGCATTCCGGAAGAGTGCTTCTGGTCACCTGTGCTTTTTCTCTGTGACAGAGATAGACTTGTATGCCATAAAAGTCTACAGAGAATACCAGTTCACATTCCTTCCTCTTCCTCTACATAATCTCTGCTAAGGTGTCTCAGAGCTAAGCAATTATAAGCACACTTACACTTGGCTGTTGTCTGAATGTGTCTCCCAAAATTCCTATGTTGTAACTTAATCATCAGTGGGATGGTATGAAAAGGTAAAACGGTAGCCTTCAAGACGTAATTAATTCATAAGGGTAAAACCCTCACAGGTAGGACTGGGACACTTATAAAAGGCCTGTACTAGGTGGGTTTGTTCCTTTCCATCCTGCCTTCTATTATGTGAATACACAGCACTGCTCCTCTTGGAAGCATGCAACAATAAGGTGCCATGTTGGAAGCAGGACACCAGATCCTCACTAGACACCAAACCTTCTGGCACTTTGATTTTGAATTTCCTGGCCTTCAGGGCAGTGGGAAATGCATTTCTGTTGTTTTCAAATTCCCGAGTCTCAGATGCCATGTTATAGCAGTGGAAACAACTTTGGAAGCCAGTTGGTCAGATTTGTTCTAATAGAACTGGCCCCAAAGCTGGATACACAAACAGATTTTTCTGGATTTGTCCAGAATCACTGTTTATATTGGTCAAATTTTGTTGTCTACTGGAGTCACTTGGGGAGCTTTTAAAAATCATTGCTCTCAGAAAAACTCCATGTCGGGTAAACAGGAATGTTTGGGAATGTACTAGTTGGTCTCAATGTGCCGCCACTTTTGAGAAGCAGTGGTTCAGCAGGTCCCTTAGTAGCTGATGCAAACGTTCATCCTGTAGCACTAACGTCAGAAAATGGAAACACTGGCTCATTCAGAAATGCACAGTGCCTGATGGCAACAGAGACACATTGGTCCCCAAGTGGCTAGATATCTGACTTCTGAATAAGTCAGCCTTTATTGTCAATCATGTTTTTCTCTTTCCTGTAATCTTTAAGGCCCCATTGACCTCTCTGTCTAAAAGTAAGCAAGAAGTCTCTAGAAATGAGACATTTCCCTTCTGAATAGGTAAGAGCTTGCATTAGTTCCCACCCTTGACCATTCATTAGAATCACCTGGGATATATAAACATTGATACAAGGTTCTGATTTCTGAGAAGCTGGTTCATTCTGTGTGGAGCTGTGGTTCTTAACATGGCCCCTAGACTACAGCATCTGCTCACATGGGCACTCTTGAAAGGTAAGTTCTTAGCTTATCTGAGACCTAATGAATCTGATACTTAATGGGGGCTGGAGCGTGGGGTGATAGCAGCAGCCTATATTGCAATAAACCACGGAGAGAGTAGTGGTCAGGCTGGAATTTCAGATACACTGGAGTAGGCAGGGTATAGGTTTCAGGGATTCTGGAAAGTTCCCTAAGTTCTACTGGGTAGCCTGAGTAGAGAGTTCTAGATCAAACAGTACTAGCTTGGGTGGCTACTGTCTTTAAAAAACATATTTATTATTTTTAATTGTGTGTGTGTGTTTATACATCCACATGTGTATACTTGTAGGTACATGCACATGAGTGCAGGTACACACAAAGCTTAAGATGTCAGATCCCAGGGGCTGGAGAGATGGTTCAGCAGTTAAGAACACTGGCTGTTCTTGCAGAAGACCCAGGTTCAAATCCCAGCACCCACATGACAGCTAACAACTGTCTGTAGCTCCAGTTCCAGGGGATCTGACAGAGTCTTCTGTCCTCTGCAGGCATTGCATGACAGGGGCTCACTTACCTACATGCAGGCAATACACGCATACACATAAAATAAAAACAATAAATTTAAAAAAAAAGATGTCAGAACCCCTCAGAGCTGGAGTAACAGGCAGTTGTGAGCTGCCTGACGTGGGTGCAGGGTACCAAACTCAGGTCTTCTGGAAAACCAATATATGCTTCTAACCTGACCACTCAGCCATGTCTCCAGCTCCTACTATTTGTCTTTCAGTAGTGTTTTCATTTCTCTCCCAAATGCCAGCATACCATAACAAGTAGAGTGACATTCCTCGGATTGAGCAAGGGTTCTTGCATTGTGTTGAAAAATAATGCATTTGGTGTGTTCATCATTTTAACAAGTCTCAATTAGATCAACAACAAAGAGAACTAACTGCTATCTAAAACACCTGTCATGAAGTACCCCATCTTCACCATCCCTTCTACCCAAAGAGTCTACTTTCATCCAAAATAAAGCAGCCAATTAACCATGACCTTTATATCTGTAGCCAGATATAAAGGTTTTTTTTTTTTTACTTTATATGAAAAGAGATATAAATAGAGTGAGTCTTCATTTTTAAATAAGCCTTTTGGTCAAAATGTCAAGCTTCAGATGCATACCATCCTGTCCTTCAAAAGAACTTAACAGTTTAAAAAACTCATGGTTTTCATCCCTGCACTGATGATATTCAGAATTCTGGTTTATATAGTCTTAGGCTGTAAGTCTCCAACAAGAGATGCAATAAACAGAATCTTTATATGATCATCAATCCGTCCTTTACATGAAAGAAGTTACTATGCAATGACGGAGGCTTCCAAGAGTGACAGACAGACAGGCTGTTCTATTCTTGTTCCACATCTGGCTGACCCCAGGGTAGGAAGTCTCAGTTTGGAGCTCCAAAGATGCTTCATGAGAAAGGCAGGAATCTCATGGGTCCTTTTAGATCTCTGAGAGTCTTTGAGGATGAGTCATGCATGTGGCATAAAAGATCTACTAATAGCCTTAGACAAAAGGAGCAATTGTTACAGCAAGCATGCACCAGTCTTCAGCATGCCCACTCGCACACAGCTCTGGGGACCCCAATCTGTCTACTAAGAGATTACCTTGAGGACAGTAGACATCGGGAGCCCATCGGTTGCATTCGTAATTGTCTGCTGCCTCTTCACAGGTAAAGCATTTAAATCCACCAGGATATGGCGTGGCTGCAAAACCAAGAGAAAATTGCTTTTTAGGATGAGCACAAAACCTGTGAAGTTAAATATGTTGATTTTAAAAAAGGATTCTCCAGAGATCATGGAAGTGTAAAAACAAACAAATAAACCAACTAAACACTGAACTACCTGATGACCTAGCAAATTTATACTTAGAAATTTATTACTGAAACATGAACACTTACATTCATACATGCATACAAATATCTAATCAATTTTCTTAGTACAGGCTGCCCATTCCAAATCTGAGAGTATGAAATCTAAAATGCTCTAAAATGTGAAACATTGAGCGCCAACATTATACTCCCCCAAATTCCACAGCTGACCTCGTGTAACCAGCCACAGTCAAAATGCTGGTGCACGAAAAATTTCATCTAAAACTCCTTCAGTTTATTTGAGGTATATGTATATATGAAACAAATGAATTTGATATTTAAACTTAGACCTCATTCTAAGATATTCTGCTACATATAGTCCAACATCCAAAAAACATCTAATATCTGAAATACCTCTGGTCCCAAGCATTTCAGATATAGGTTACTTAACCTATAATGACCCAAACTGTAAAAACTCAGATGTCTATCAAGACCATTTTTACAATGAGAAAATTTGAAAATGGACTGCTTGCAGCTGTCAGGTGTTGGGGATGGCAGTGTGTAGGTAATATTTGGAGCTAAAGAGGTGTGGGTCACACAATTCCAGCAGTGTTCTCTGATGTTTTCCATCCCCTCTCTAAACGAGTTGCACTTTTGCCTTCTGAATAGACTGTCCTTCAAGTACGGGTGCTCTCTGTCTTGCCTTTAAGCTCAAGTGGTGGTGGAACCTGAGAATCATGTTCTGGAAAGTACTCAGAACACCAGGGCCTTCTGTCAGCACAAGGAAGAAGAGGATCAAGGGGCCATGTCTGGAAGGATACGCTGGTGGTCTCTGTCTTTTCACAGGCAGGCTTGCAGTTGCCTCTCAGCGGTAATCATCTGCTTGCCTTGACAGTCAGAGCGCTGCCTTTCATAACCAGATCTTGAGCATTCTTTAATTTGTAAAACTACCTGGCCTAGTTGAAAGCTGCAGACACTCAAACATTCAGCTGCAGGAGTCAACTGCTCTCCTCTCAGATGGCTGATCCTGTGGATCCCACTGGTGGAAATAATCATCTCAGGGTAAACTGCTTTGCCCACATGGAACCAATTAAGTATGTTATCAAAAATAAAGGAAGGAGGAGGTAGCAGCTTAAGGCTATAATAATGGTCCAGATATAACTTTGGTTTTCACTTGCCCATTCATAATATTTCATAGAACTGACTGAGACAGTACTCAGTACCTGAACATGGTCAAAAATCATAAAATGTCTAAAAGGGACCTTTTTATGGGCCCATTTGAGAGTCCTATAGTTCTTCAACTAGTCAGTGACTCAAATCCACAAATAGGTCGAAAATAAGAGTAGGATCATCTCCTAAAACAATGGAAAGCAACTTAGAGATGGCCACTTCAGTCCCATGAAGAAATTACACTATAGGAAGAAATGTTCTCCTGTCAGATCACTTTATGAAGCAGAAGAAAATAGATTGTGAAGCACACAAACCATTAACACACTCCACATTCTGTCACCCAGAGAAGTACATCATGTTTGAAAGAGTCTGCTTTGGTCAGTACATGCCCACAGAATAGAAAACAAGAACATTCTCAGATTCCAAAGCCATTCAATATCTTGCGTACATTTTGATCAGTTTGTATTTTATGACTATCATTATGAGAAAGACCAAACATTTTAGGAAATTATACTGGTCCGATACATTAAAAAACATTCTCACTATTAACTTAAAATAACTTAAGAGGGAAAACTTTGAAATAACTTGTAAAATTTAAAGTAGAATTATCGAAGTACAGTTTTGAAAAAAAAGATATTAAGGACTTTACAAAGGAGAGTATTGTTCAAAAAATGATCATCATATTTGCCAAGGTTTATGACTGCGGGCTAACTATACCACTTCAGTTCACATGATTAATTCACTAGAGCATCCAATTTTATCTGTCTGTCACTGCAGCCAAAACAATATTTGGCTGGGATGTTGGATTAGTTATTCCTGGAAACTTTCCCATCAAAGAGATAAATTAAAAACTTTGAAGAATGAGGATCCAATTGCTCCAAGAACAAAGTTATTAAGAACCAAACACTAGTAACTTGTAGTGTTCCCAAATTTTGGTTATCTAATAGACTTTTTAAAATGATCTTTTACAAGCCTAATGATATATTAAATTAAACACTGTCATTTCTTACATAAGAAGGCCCTTACTCTGAAATTAACTCAAGGACACTGAATCTGAACAGAAGTATGAGCCCGGACTCCATGTAGCAAAATGAAGTTTTGCTTCAAATCATTCATGATTTGAATGAGCACATCAGCATACGTCAGTGGCAAATAACCAAATGATCTCAACTTGGGTGAGTCTTATTTAAGTCTACAATTCCTTATCTGTGTGCATTCTGAAACACTCTAATTTGATACTTGTTTACAGGATCTTTCATTGACATTTTGCCAATGAGCACTGGTCAATAAATATCACCAATAAGTGACAAATCTTTGCAAATATATTCAGCTTAAAGTACAATACCAAGCAAATGGTTAAATGCTTCCCTCTGGAAATATTTAGCCCCAAATAAGGTCAACAGATAAACAGCTATCTCCAGTAACTTGCTAATTGATACTACATCTGATAAAGAGTTTATTTTTCTTTTAAAAGACAGGGAAAGAGGTTCGGAAGAGATGTGCTATTTTCTTTTTTGTTACTTCAAAGCCTTACAGAGCAAGCAGAGTTTCAGATCCTGTGGCCCCAGCTGTGAATGAATCTAATTTGGCTCCTGATCACAGAGCTAATAAGCTTAGTAGTCTGTGTTTCAGGGCATAGGGCCTTGGTCCCTCAAGAGAAGGTGATTGTAAAGAAAAAAAAGAAACACTGAAGTGCCCAGTTACTTCCTGTAAAATAATCTGTCCATTAACTCTCATGGTCAGCCATAGTTTCAACCTCCCATAATTCATTTGTAAGGCATCAGAAAAGATTTAGTCTTTGTTTCCATCCCTTGGAACTTTCTCCTGGACAAAGGCCTTCAGTTACAGGAAACGTGGTGAGAACAGACTAGTAGAAATGAATGCTACATACAATGTGCCTATTTTTGTTAAAAATAATTTCCACTGTTTTTGGACAATAGATACAAATATAATTTTTTTCAGTCTAATAAATTTATCTTTCTCTCATTCTACAAAGCAGCAAAATACTGGGGAAACAATTTTAATGTGAATATATTTCTGACAGAAATACACTGGTACCTGTCTAGAAAGTCTGCTTACCCTGTAAGACTTAATGAAGGATAGGACAATGAATAAACTTGCTTGGCTCCCTACTTGGGGCGTAAGCAAACCTCTGTAAGGACATGTCTCTTTGATGCACACGATTAAGGAAAAGATTAGAACATACATGCAGAGGAAAACTGGATCTTTTTAAAGGAGAATTGTCTATTATATGGAAAGAAATGGAGGCCAAGAACAGGGTACAGTCATTTAGTTAAATTCTGCCATCTTGTGTGATAGCTGACAATCAAATAAGCAGCTCCAATTTCTCTCAACATTAACTCCTGTTTCGGAGGTTGCTATTAGGCTTGATGCTTTAACCATAGAATGGAAAAAAATATTTTTCACATTAAAAAAAAAGAAGAAAAAGCACATTCAAATTATTGAACAGAATGTTCTGGAGGATGGTGCCTCAAACTTGAAATCCAGACAGTTTCTCATAAAGGTTCAGAAATTTCAAAAATTAGGGAAGCAGAAAGCAAAGGAGATTAGCGATGAGGGGCTGGATTTCTTAATCCGGTTTCTATTGGTGATGGCTGTCTGGACTCATGAGTCACGTGTTTGTGTTTAGCATGGAAAACGTGTGTGTTGGCACCCTTCCTGCACCTCCACGTTTCTCTGTGGACAGATTCTATGCTTTTCCATGTAACATTAATGGAATCTGGCTCACTCACTGACCCAGAGAAAGCTGCTTGTACCTCCACCTACAAAGTGAGGTGGTTGTATAAATAATTCAAAATCAAACTAATCCTGGGTTTCTCTCATATATTTTTTATGACTTATATTCAACAGAAACCTGCTTATTGGTAGAGAGATCACTTCATCTAAGCATGGGTGAGGGCTCAAGGGCAAAGAAATCAAAAGTGGAAACAAGCACACTCTACAAACTTCTAAGTAGTTTGGAGAAATGTAAAGTTAATTCTGATCTGAAATGGGGAGAAAAGCAAAGTTCTGGCCAAGAGGGAGCCATTCAGTTACTAAAATTCCACACAAATTTTTGCTGCCTAGATCCATTAAGAGACCTGCTGGTAAGTCGTCTACTTATAATCTAGTATAGGAACAACTTTTTCAACTCCTTTTCAGATTTTAAAATCATATAAGAAAATCCTATTGATTTTATACGAGAGCAAGTGCCTTCTAACTAGGCACCACTTTATTTAATTAGCATAGGTCACACGAGGGAAATTTTCCATTATTTTATTTTATTATTATTTTTTAATTTGGAACAGGGTGTTGCTATGTAGTCCATCTGGCCTGGAATTATGTAGCTCAAACTGTCCTCAACAGCTCAATCTTCCTGCCTCAGTCTCCCACGTATTGCACTCACCATTGTGTACTACCACACCTAGCTTCCACTATCTCTTAAAGAACAGAAGCAATTCACTCTGTGACCTGCAGAGTCCATCGTTCAAAGACCCCACTCTGAAATCATCATCCCAGGCACTAACTCGCTACCACATGGAGGAGGAAGGGGTATGTTTTGTTCTTGTTCACATAGACCCATTCACTTAAATTTCCCTCCTACTCTGTATGTGCAACCTTAGCCTCAGAAGAGGTCAAGGACCAGTTTTGTGATCTGAGTCTATCACCAGAGCTGACAGAGAATGTCACAGAAGCCAGAAACTCTGGCATACACTCCTAAGAGACTGAAATCTGGGTCTTTATCTTCTCAAGTCTGGCTGTTTGGGGGAAAGAATAAACCACAATCTAGAAAGCAGACCAAGCATCAAAGTATCTTCATGTATATCTTTATTTTTTATTTTATAGATTTCTTTGAGTGTTTTTGAAACAGGGTCTCCCTGTACCCCTGGCTGCCCTGGAACTGGCTATGTAGACCAGGCTGGCCTCGAACTCACAGAGATCTGCCTGCCTCTGCCTCCCAAGTGCTGGGATTAAAGACTGCTACCACACCCAGATTTTTAGTGTATATCTTTAAAACAAAGATAAAACTTGCACAAAATTAAGCATCCAGATAAATTTCTCATACAATTAACTAGTGGGCACCAGCCTATACTGCTGTGAGGTACAGATACAAAAATCTAAAAAAAAATTACTAATATTTGTTTCCTAGCAAACTAGCAAAAGCACATTTGGACTTACTTAAAACTAAGGTAGTAGGATTTTTCAACACTCATAGCTTACTAACTAAACTAATGACGACAAGAATAACCATTCAGTTACCTTTTAGGTACAGGTCTGGTGTTCAGATATATAATTTTCTTGTTCATAATGCTATAGGAAATGCATATTTACCACGTTAGAAATAAAGACTTAAAAAAGTCCCTAACATTGCCTGAGCACTGATCACAACACAGAGATAAGTGCTTCATATGCATTATGCCATTTAATTGTCACAAAGTCAGGGAATTTATTTCAAGGAAGATTACGGAACAGCTGACCTAGTTGCAGAGCCAGGGTCAGGTGGACTCCAGGCCCTCAAGTGTCCCATATGCCACCTCTCAAGCTGCAGGCATTACATATTCTAGCATTGTTGGGCCAAAAAAGTTCAAACAGTTGCCTCCCCTTTGCAGACTGTATGACCTTCAAAAGTGAGGACCATATTTTAATTGCCTGTATACTTTTTATGCCTATCACAATACTTGACATGCAGCAGACATTTAAAAAATAATAATATACCTTGGAGCAAAAGGTAAAGGTTGGGATACACAGACTATACCCAGCTCTCAGCACCACAAAGGCAATACAGAAGAGTAATAGAAGAAAACAAAAGGGAACATAGGTACAGAGCTGGGGACCAAAGGGGGATGTCACACTGATGTTTCCCAAACTGAGGTCCCAGGGTATCCACACAGGACAACTTGAAATCTTGCTGAAGGCATAAATCACAAGTAAAACCCAGCTATATGCAAATCAGAAACTGAAGGACAGGGACATGCCAGTGTAGTGACCTACATGGTTATATACTCCCTAGAGAACTCTTAACCACAGGAAACCAAAAACCCAGGGAACAAGAAGTTGTGGGAGGCTAAGAAACTAAGAATAAGATGCACAGAGAAGACTATTATCTGATCTATAAAGCTCAGATCTTTTTACAATCTGCCTCCTGGAACGGGGTGGTTCACTTGAATAGCTGGCTGAGGATCGCTGGCTGAGGACCCACACAGCAAAAGGGAAGAGTGTGTAAATCAGAGTGATTGTATAGAGAATGAGAAAATAAGCCTAATAATTTGACTTAAGATACAAAACACACACCTTTATTCCCAGCACTTGGGAGGCAGGTGGATCTCTCTGAGACGGAGGTCAGCCTGGTTGACATAGTGAGTTCCAGGCCAGCTGGGGCTGCAGGGAGACCACCCCCACTTCTCATAAAACAAAAAGAAAAAAAAAAAAAGCAAACACCAAACATTCTGTGGAAAGGAGGGGGTAAAACATAAGGCACATATTACACCACCTTAATTAAGTCACCAGGTATTTCCCCTTCCCTGAAACCTGCTTCTCCTGGACATGCTTCAACTCCTAATTGGAAATGAAGCGACATTTTCACAACAAAGGGAACACATAAGAGTCTTACTTGACGGGTGGAGGTAGATGATGTCTTTCACTGTGAAGTCCCGGGACTGAGCGGCTTTGAGACAGTCAGCCAGCAGGCTCAGGAGCAGGAGCCAAGCCAGAGCAGGGCCAGGTTCCATGGCAGACCAGCGTGTCACTCATACAGGGGGCCCCAGAGTGGGGTCTTGAGGCGATGGGGGAGGACTTGCACCTGAAACAAGAAGACAGACTCATCTCAGTGTCCACCAGGAGACAGCGCAGACAGCTCAGCTGAGCTCTGGATGGTGAGCTGGGCAGGGGAGGGACAACACGCAGGGCCCAGAAAAGCAGAGTGCCAGGGGGAAGAACTTTATAAATGGTAATTTTAGAGCACTTAGAACATTCCAGCCTAAATCTCTTCTTAATCAGGTTGCTCCACTGGTAGCAATCCCTCCTAATATCCAGCAGAGATGGTATCAAGAGAGATTGAATTTTAATGAAATCCAGTTATTTTTGCCAGGAGGCCAGGGGATGTCTGCCAGACAGCAACAATAAATAAGTCAGGTAAAAAGCTCAGAAGCATTTCCTCAGTAATGGTGTGGGCCAAGCCTGAGACCAGCCTTTCTGAGTTGAATCAACCAAACTGTATGGGATAGACTTTCAGACTGGAAAAGAAATGAAGGTAAGCTGACCAAGATAAAAACTGTCTCAACAGCACAAAATCTTAGTATAACCAACATCTGTTGGTGACATACTGTTGAAGCCATTTACAAATATCAATTTATTCGAATAGCCCTATGAGGTTTCCGCTATGATTACCCCATTTAACATGAAGAGGTCCAGCACACAAGGACAGGGCTGGCTCCTACACAGGCCGAGTGGCTTTCAACTCTGCACTTTAAAAACCAGTGGATGCTACATTCTGCCTAAGGATGGATGATTATAAGATTGAGTTGCTGCTTATCACTAAACAACCAACTATTGTCCTTTATTCTGATTCTTTTTCACTTGAAAATGAGAACAGTCGAGACCTGTAATGGGGTTAGACTGTCCAGCTCATGCAAAGGAATGTCTTTATTTGGCACCATGCCACCCCTCACCATCTTCTTAGTTTTCTATCCTGTGTCTCACATGCTGCTTTCCAAGTTCCATCATCTCTCTTGTACAAGCAAGAGCATCAGTGTGAGATATCCACTTATTTAAATCGAATTTAAAATCATAATTTGGACATTTCATTTGTAGATGTAATATAAATATTCAACAATTTAAAAAATTATTGAACTTTTTGCAATTTTCATACAATATAATTTGATGGTATTTAGAGCCCTCATTTATACCTTCCCTTATGCCCCCTGGCCCAGTTTAATGTACTCTTTTAGATATAAGGCCTATAGAGTCTAATTTGTGTCCCCAAATGTCCTTCAGTGTAGGTCCATCCACTGGAGCCTTGTTAACCTACCAAGAGTCCCATCCTTGAAAGAGACTGTCTCTCCTCCTCCTAGCAGCCATTGGTTGCCAAAAGTTCCTTAGATGGGGTTAGGATTTCTTACTCCCTCACATCTATGCTGGTACTTTATCTGGTTTGATCTTGCATAGGACTTAACAAAATTTTTAAATAGCATAACATTTTTAATTCCTTATAAAAACAAATAAATTGGGGCTGGAGAGATGACTCAGCAACTAAGAGCACCGACCACACTTGCAGAGGACTCAGGTTTGGTTCCCTGTACCCATGTGGTGGCTAACAGTCATCCATAACTCCAGTTCCAGGGGATCCAACACCCTGTTTTGGCTTCCATGGGCATTTCATGACATGGGTGCACTTATATAGATGCAGGCGAAACACTCATATACATTGAATCAATAATAAATAAATAAATAATTTAAAACTGAAAAAATAAAATAAATTATGACTAAAATATTATGAAGCAGAAACTTAATAGAAAAATATCAATGTGGCCTATTCAGATATTAGAATGTACTACAAATCAATATTAATCCAAACAGAATGATACAAAAATATGCCAGTAGATTCAACTTTTCATAGGATATAAACAATTTTTCAAATGACAGAACATGACACTATTAAATGAACATATAAGTTGATTGAAATGTGAAAAAGATGAACTGAAATGGATACACTAAAATGACTTCCAGGTGCTTTTGTGTTCATTTGTTTTTAACTAGTAAACTGTCAGAAGATAGTATAAGCCCTGTAGATAGACAGCCCTGTAAGGGCTGATGATGCACCCAGGCCAGGCCCAGACTCACGATGCCAGCTTCTGTTCATACTTTGCTTCTTGGAGCAAACTTGCATCGAGGAAGAGAATGGGCTGCCAGGTGATCTAATAAATGTGACTGCCAAGCACTGTGTGAAGCACTTCGTGGGTGAGCAATGCAACGAGAAACAAATGTCAGAGGTGGCCTTCCCCTGCTGAGGCAGCAGTCCAGTCACAGACAAGCTTCAGCTCAGCAAAGGAGGCAGCACTCCATTTCCCAGCCATTCCAATGTTCCCCTGCATCACAGGCCCTATTTCTCAGCCATTCCTCTGTACCACACTGAAGAAGGGAAGGGAGGCTACACCCAAGCGACAGGTGGGTATAATGCACTTTGGAGACCTGACTATGCCACAGCCAACACCCCTACTTCCTCCCTTGAGAATCAAGGATGAAAACTGCAGGAACATTATGTTTGTAACTGTAAAGACCAACTCATATCCCCAGGAGAGATATTGGAAAGCAGACCACGATGCATGAACAGTAAAGGGCTCAGAGTTTGCTCAAGCTACCATGCAAACACCTCAGGCTATCCAGTTTAACCAATTTACTTCTCTCAGCTCTGGAGGCTGGAAGTTGAGGTGTCAGCAGGTTTGGCTCCTCCTGAGGCTTTTCCTCTTGGCTTACAGGTGGCCACCCTCCCTTTGTCCTCTGAGGCCTTCTTATTCCTGTATCCTGTCCCTGCTCTTTTATAAAGGAACCAGTCCTGTTGAATTAGGGCTCTGCTTTTATGATTTCCTTCAATCTTAGTTACCTCTTCGAAGGCCCTGTCTCCAAATAAAACCACATTCTGAGGCACATGGTGATAACTTAGAAATTCTGGGATAACCACATTTCAGCCCATAGCACAAGGTTTCTTTTATATTACATCCCCTGCCCCAAGGCATGTCACAGAGCTAGTAGTTACCAATACAAAGGGTGAGGTGGTCTGAGGTGCCACAGAGAAATGCAAGCACCTTCCCAGGCTGTGGGGCCATGAGCTCCTCAGGTCAAGGACTTGCTGTGACTATTGTTACTGGTTCAGAACCTAACATGGAGGGGCCTCAGCTGCCACTGTGAAGAGCCGAGACATTTGCCTCAGACCCTTCTAATACCTTCAGGATGGTGTCTCTCTGCTTTTTACCTCTGCCAGCTTGTCCTGCATTTTGCTCTAAGAGATGAATGATACAAATGGCGAGTCTGCAAAGGAAAACTAAAATCCAGGTCACACTAGAGAATAAAACTTAAAAGCCATAGATTCTATTACCTTATCTACCTTCTCACCCCAAATATGAACTGAGAGGTGTGGAAAGTATCTTGATATTTCAAGATACTTGAATTCAAAATTTTTTAATATTCAAAATTTTATAGCATCAAGAAACTGATCTTCGTAGTAAAATAAATAGTAAAGAAAACTCATGGTAAAATTCAGTTGATCGATAAGGGTTAAATATGGCAGAACTTTTCTTCCAGTTTTATGCTACTCTGCACTGAAAAATGAAAAATATACAACAACAATAAAGGTAACTTTGGTAAGATGAATGTTGAGCCCTCTCCCCAGATATCCATGTGGTAATTCCCAGAAGCCTCTGAGGGTGAGAAAGAACCTGAATGTGATCAAGTTAAGGATCTTGAAATGGTACGCAGGTGAGCCAATGGTGTCACTGCCAGTGTCCCTACAAGAGGGAGGCAGGAGAGCACCAACCAACAGAAGGAAAGGCAGCAGAAGCTGGAGGTTAATGTGAGTGAGGAGGTGCCGCTAGCCAAGGAATGCTGCAGGTTCTAGCTGAAAAGGGCTAGGAAATCCTCCCAAAACCCCAGAAAAAGGCTGTCCTGCTGAAGTCTTAACTTCGGCTTGGTGACTGGTATTGGACTGTTGACCTCTAGAACAAGAAAGTAAATCTCTGCTGTCTGAAGCCACTGAATTTGCAGTAATTACAACGGCCATAAGAAAATCATACAGCTGCTTTAAAATAATTTAAAACTACAGTATAGCCCATTTATACAAATATGCAGGAAACAAAAAGTAAAACTGTGTTTGTCATTTTCATAGAATTAAAAATTTTTATTTCTATATTTTGAATAATTATTAAAGAATTATCAGGTCTAACCATGTAAGACTGTCATTTTTATGCTAAAATAATGGGTATACAGTGAGGGCTTCATGTGGCTCAATCTATAGCTTCCATAGATGGTACTGACCATGGCACAAAAAAGTGTTAAATGGCCACTGGGATGAGATCTACACAAAAGTTAGCCCTATGTCCTTGTTTGTCCAGTCAATCTGCACACGTCTCCCTCATCTACAGGCTTCACTTTTACTTGGCTCCAGTGTTCACATACCTGCTGAGTCCTACTCTTTACCAGACTCTGATGTATGGAAATACAGCAGAGAGGCCATGGCTCTCTCACTTCCCCATTTAATAAGCTCTGTGACTTCTCAGAGCATACTGTGAATTTTCCATCAGATAAGGGGTGGCCCTTATGTGTTTCATGTTTGGCAACATATTTGTGTGTGTATGTTTATCTATGTGCCATGGGTGCAGGTGCACATGGAGGCCAGTAAACAGCTTTGGGTATTGTTCTTCAAGAGCTGTCTACCTTGTTTGTGAGACAGAGTGTCTCCCTGGCCTACAGCTCCTAAGTAGTTTAGGGTGGCTGGCCAGAGAGCTCCAGGGTCCCCAGTGCTAGAATTATAGGCACATGCCACCATACCAAGCTTTTTTAATATGGGCTTTGGGGATTAAGCTCATGACCTCATGCTTGCCAAAGCCATGGAAGGTTCTAGAAACATAAAATTACTTGCATGTTCAAAATTTTAAAAAATATTTTTATTGACATACAATAAAATTTCATACAATGTATTTTGATCAAAAAATTTTGCCAGGCATGGTGGCACATGTCTTTAATCCCAGCACTTGGGAGACAGAGGTGGGTGGATCTCTGTGAGATCAAGGCCAGCCTGGTCTACACATAGAGTTCCAGGCCAGCTGGGGCTACAGGAAGAACCTGTCTCAAAACAAAACAAAATAAAACAAAAAGTTTAATGAACATGTATCATTATCATAAGCGGGAACTCCTCTCGAAAGAGTAAGTCTGACAAAATAATTTCACTTGCATCCACAATTATCTTTTACTCTAAAATTTTTACTGAGGTAAGATTCACATAATATAAAATTCACAGCTTTATAATTCAATAATATTTGGTATAATTCTTAACATTGCAAAATCATCGTCAATATCTCATCTATAACACTTCTATCACCCCATTCACAAGGCCTATACTCATCAGCAATCACTCCAGCATGGCTCCTCCCCTTACCCCGATAACCCCTACTGTGCCCATTTCTATGGACTACCTATTAGGAACATTTCATGTAAGTGGAATCTACAATGTGTGGTGTTTTGTGTCTTGATCCCTTTGTTTAGTATGCTTTCAAGTTCCGTCCATACTGTAGTATTAATCAGTATAACAGTAATTTTTATGGCTAAATGTTTCATTCTGTGAATATTTTTGTTTATGCATCAAATGATGGACATTTGGGTAGTTCCCACTTTTGGTTATTATGAACAATGCTGTTATTAATATCATGAACATTTGGGGGGAGAGCAAATATGTGTTGTATTAGATATATGCCCAGGCCTGTTCTTCCTTGGTCTCATGAGTACCAAGGGTTTAACTTTGGGGGACTTCCAGTGTTCCAAGGCAGGTTTACCATCCTTCATTTCCATAAACAATATTGAGTATTTTAATTTCTCATATCTTTACCAACACTTTTTTTCCTTTCTTTTAAAAACCATAGTCAACCTAGAGAAGGTGAATTGTATCTCACTACCTTTTATTATCTCACTATAATTTTACTGCATTTTATTTGTGTCTTCAAGTAAGCAATGAAGTTGAACATTTTTTATGTGTTTGTCATTTGTATATCTTCTTTGGAATTATGTCTGTTCAAATTATTTGCCCAGTCTTTTAAAAGTTGGATTGTTGAATCCAACTTTTGTTGAATTGTAATAATTCCTTCTCTCTCTGGAGTCTAGGCATTTACATAAATAACATATTATTATCAAATATTTTCTCACATTCTCTGTATCCTTTTCCCACATTACTTTTGAGACAGTGTTCCTATGTAGATCAGGCTGGCCTTGAACTCACAGAGACTTTCCTGCCTCTGCCTCTGCCTCCCTAGTGCTAGGATTAAAGGTATATACCACCATGCCTGGCTTTGTTCTACTTTCTTGATGGAATACTTTAATTCATAAAGGATTCAATTTTGATGAAAACAATAAATTGCTTTTTATAAATATAGACTTTGTTCCCTTAAAAATGCCAAGTCCAACTCAGAACTAGAAAGACCTGCATACAATGCACAGTAAAAGAACTTGTCTACTTTGCAGTGATCGAGGCTGTATTTTCCACCTTTCTTTTCCATGAGAAAAACAGGATGGGCAGGACCAGTTATTAATATCACTAATGCTTACATTCCTACATTAATCACAAAGCACCACCCATCCTATTAGTGTTTTCTAGGAACTTAAAATGAAAGATGATCGACAAGCATTCACAATTAGTCTAACAGTGACTGAAATACAGCTGTGCTGAGGGGGTATGTCTCTGCAGATTCTCAGTCACAGATAGAGCTTTAATCCCCAACCACACAAATATGATATGCTCAGATATTGACATAAAGGCTCTTTCTTGGGACTCTGATGATTTTCTGAGTCCACTGCGCCTTTGGATTGTTCTAGACATTTAGAAAAGATGTATTTCCATTTTATAATGCTGCCATTTAAATATGCACTTCGGATCCCATCCCTGAACAGAGCTCTCTTTATGAAGACGCACATGCTCATCTTCACAGCTCTGTGACCTTTCATTTGTTATTTATGAGCTTTTGCAAATCTAATACCACTCTGACAGATTTAATTCGTGCTCTAAATTACCTTTGCATGAGTTACTCAACTGCTGGTTTTATTCCATTGGATTACTTGCTACATTCTGAAATAGGAAAAAAAATAGTTTGAGATCTATGAGACCTTCACTTGGGAGAAAGTTGAAAATTGCATTCAGTATTTTTACTTTATGAATGGTACTAGACAATATAAAGGAGAATTTCTACACTAGCCATAAAGGTAAAGTGATAGAGACATGTAGGCCAAGTTTTACAAATATAGACCCTATTTCTATTTCATATAGAGTCCATAAATAAGATCTTCCCACTCTTTAAACTGGACACTAGAAGAAAATGAAATACTTCCACAGTTATATTGACTTAAGTATGTACTACAGGACAAGAATTTCCGAGCCTTTGATATTACACACACACACACACACACACACACACACACACACACATTATTCTAGGTCTAGGGCAAGGAAGGATTGTCAGAAATTAAAGCTATGTTTAGGTTATAAGAGGTGCTCAAGGCTCAGTGAGCTTGTCTACATTATAATCAAGCTAAGATAAGATGAGCTTTATGGTTGCAAGGTTAGGTAAAAGTCATTGTCCAGAGTATGTCTACATTGTAAAAGTTATTCCAACATGCTGCTGCTGGGGAGCACTGTTTGCCACATGTGGCCTATCCCACTAGCCACTGTTTAGCTCAGCATTGGAAATGTAAGCCAACCAGGCAAATCTGAGTTCTTCCTGGATAGTTTTCTTTCAGGAAAAGACAAGCAGCCCCTCTCTGGAAGAAGAGACCCAAATACAAAGCCAGGTACACGTGAAAGCAATGCCCCCCCCCTCACCATGTGGAGGAAGAGAAGGAAGCTTGCTGGCTTGGAGAGACAGAGGAGAAAATGGGAGACAAGAGCTCCAACCATGTTCAACCCTTGCCTTTAGAGACAATTCTTAATTCTTCCATGAATTATTATGCCAGCCTCACTTTCCATCTAACAAATACTTCCACTGCTCAGGCTGCTCTGAGTTAGTTTTCCTTCCTTGCAACCAAGAGTTTTCATTCAAGATTCTTCCAAAAGGGACCATCCAGCCACTTGACTATTCTACGTAACAAATGATTTGTTGTTGAGACAGGGTCTCACTATGTAGCCCTGGCTGGCCTGGAACAATCTATGTAGACCAAGCTGGCCTCAAACTCACAGAGATATGCCTACCTCTGCCTTCTCAGAGCTTGGATTAAAGGTGTGCTCCACCATGCCCCACCATTACAAATAATTTTTAATCTGATACATCTTTAAGGCTTATCAGCTAAAAGGTTAGCAGGCTTTGAAACTGTCCATAGTGAGGAACTAGCCAGAGAAGACTCCTTTTGGATTTTATAGGCACTGATGTTTCGTTTACAACCTACAAGGAGACAGACTGTTCACATTCTTCAATCAGAATTGAAGGTTTATTTGCATAAAAATCAATGCTTTAAAGAAACGCTCATTTATTTTTCTGGATCCACTGGCAAAGCTAGAGTCATAGGGAAAAGCTGCCCTTCTGTTTGTCCCAAACTGATTTAATGGTCAATTGCATCAAAACGCTTCAATTCCTGAAGGATAAACGATGTCTGAGTAAGTATGCCAGGCAATATATTCACATTTAAAAGACACTGAATTTATTCTCGGTGCTGTTTCATCTGTTGCTTATTCCTTCTGTCAAGTGGAAAGTTTTGAGGAACTGGAGGAAGGCATTTTCAAGTATAAACAGCAGGATAGGAATGAGTCAAAGAATTCCTCACATAGGAATGGGACATTAGATAAACTTCAGCCTGCCAATTTTTTTAACTTAGAAGGAGCTACTTAGAGAAATTTTTGTTTGAGTCTCTTTTGTTAAACATTTTTCTAAGTTTTAAAATGTCCTCATTTCATTTTTCTTTTTGCATAATGATTTTTTTAAATCCTAGAGAGCGCCCCAAAACTTAGAAGTATAAGATGTCCTGAGAAGCAATGATAGTAATAGGTGGGTTAAGTCAGAACAAGATATGCTCCTATGTTCAAAATAACGCAGCCCCAAACACACTTTGATTGCTAAGCATGTACGCTCCACCTCCTGATCATAGAACGGCTATCTTGGTACTGTCCAGAGGGAATTTTCTCTGCATTTGGAGTGGCTCGTTCCTCTTTCTTTCACTGATTTTGAGTGTTTCCCAAACTTCACCAACATGGAAGAACACCATTAGTCATCTATTGTAAAGCAGATATGCCTACTCTGAATCTATGAAGGTATTCTGGATGGTTTCAACCAAACTTTATTGGTAGGAACCATTTGCATGTTTTTTTTTTTTTTAAAGTTATCTTTGTTTGTTTGCTTGCTTGCTTGCTTGTTTCAGAGGGCTGTTCAAGGACTGAGTTCTGTTAACTAACCCTTACCACTCCTCCCGGCACCTTTTCAACTGTCACACTCACTCAAATAAAGTGCTCTCTGTCACTCTTGCCACCTGTCATTTATGTAGTCTGAAGTTCAAATAAATATAAGCAAGCAGGCCTAACACATTTAATTTCTATGGGAACATTTCTTCTGTCCTTTGTGTTGGCTGAAGTCCAGCATCCAGTGAAAATTCAGCTTTCCTTTCGGCTAATCACAGCAGTGGTGTGCTCCTTCCCCCAACCCCCAGGGACCCTGATGATCTGTCCAGAATTCTTTCCCTTCCCCAAACAACTTAAAAATCATGGCTCTTTCTCTTCAAACACAATCTTCAAACCATCTGCCCTTATAGCTGTTAAGGGTAGAAAACATGAAGAATATACCTCATCTCTGCCCATTTAGACAGTAATCTTGATTCTCAGTCAGGATCAAAAGCATTAGTGCACACTCAATCTTTCCTTCTTCTTTGTGTGGAACAGCATTTTGTTCATCGTTCCAGAAATCCTAACCAAGTTTTGGTTTAAAGGCCTTGAGTATTGCTTCCATTTGCATCCGACACAATTCAAGTTCAAGAATAAATTAATATTGCAAATTTGATGGGTATAGAGAGACCTTCCAGATTTCTTACAGGATGAGAGAGCCAGCCTGTGCTCTCTTCTTTTGGGAAAAGAAAAAAAAAACTCAGAGTTAATATTATAGTTTGGTTATGATAAAGGGTATATTTTCAAAACAAATTATCTATGTACTTATTGTTCAAGACTCTGATACATTGAACAATAAACAATCCCGGAAGCCCAAAGACTGTCCATTATACTTGGGTTGGCCCAAACTATAACTTGATTTTTCATGCTCATCTATCTATTTAACACAGTTAGAGGAAGAATTTCCTTACCCTGAGCTTAAAGACAAATAAAGTACATTCAGCGAGCTCTCAACTCCATAAGCACTGAGGCTGAAGTCCTTCCTTGAATCTTTACCATCATCATTTGCAAGTCTTGACAAATAATGGTTAATACAGAAGTTTATTATTGTAGTCAAGAAGAATATAATATTTTATATAGTATTTACTCAAACAGAAAAGAATGTAAGCATTATTAATAGAAGGAGGCTGTCCTTGATAATAGAAAATTTTGTTTTGTTTTTGCATGTAAACCAATTCACCTATTCAGAATAAAACAGTGAATCACCTGCTATGGGTAAGGAAATACAGGCGTCTAAATGGACTGCCCCCACCGCCTGCATGGAAGAAGCCAAGCACTAATCCCATTGCCTTCTCCTTAGTGCTGAGCTTTCCTGTCTATGTCCCTCAGTTGTCATCCTTGTTGCTACTTCACTTCATTCATTCATTCATCCATTCATCTATTCATCATCCTCCATGAACCAGATGTTATCTGTTATGTATGCTGTTAATATTTTCAAACTAATATCAATTTTCCTGAACTCTGTTAGGAAAATCATTCATTTTATTCTTAAATAAAAGTGCCCAAATATACTGCAAAGAATATAGAAGGATGTGTTGACTTGCTTAGTATATAAGAAAGAGATGAGGGGTCTGTGACTTAGTCAAGAGTGAATATAAAGGCCTCATGGCACATGTCTGCAATCCCATTATTCAGGAGGTCAAGGCAGGAAGATACTGAGTTAAAGGGTCCCTGGCTACTTAGTAAGACTCTGTCTCAAAATAATAAAACAGAGAGTGTGCATAGTTTGACACTGGTGTGCTGGTATGCAAAGGTCAGATAAGGTATGAGACATGAGGGGAGGAGGCATGTAATATAACTATACCAACCCTTCCCAGACCCTCTTAGATACAGATCACAGCCATTATCAACAGAAACTCCACAAGCATCCAGATTCCTTCCTATCAACTAAGCCTGTCTAGAGAAAAAGGCGAGATACAGAGGTGTCGCACAACCTGAGGGACAGTGCCAGCTGTGAAACTCCCTAGGACTCTGATTCACAGTGATTCCACTGAAGCTGTCCAGGCTCTGACCAGACTGACAACTGAGACCAAATTCTGGCTTTTGAAAAATGCTCCGATTCAGCACTGTCTCTGATATGGATCTTGGGAAGGATATTGGGGTGGGGGTTCTACAGGTAATGTGAAGCATCAGAGCTGTCCAAGCAGGGATGTCTATAAAACTCCCCACAATCTGCCTCCTGCCTGTCATTTTTCCCTTGACACTTCATGCTCAGGAGCCAGAATCATAGTGTATGAGATTCTCAGTGTACTAGGTTACTTCTTACTCTATGCCTTGGCTCTGGATGTCTATTTTGGTAAATCTACATTCTTTACTTAACACTAAACTCAGCTTTAGAAAGTCCCATCCTCTCCTCTCCCACAAGATCAAGCAGGAAGTACCTTCCCTGATTCTGTTATGTCTTTTCCCTGTATATAGCAGCTAGGGGCTTCTTTCACAACAGGAAGGGCAGTGGACTTTGTTTTTTCACAGATTTGTGTTGAAGTCCTAGCTCGCCAGTGACTAGGCCTATGATCTTGGACAGCCTACTTTTCCTTCCTTTTCTCATTTCCAAAATGGGATTAATATCATCTACCCTGACATGAATGAATATGGATTAATACATTATGAATAGCTATCTTTAATTACTCTTACTAGGAACTTGGATCATGATTTTGGTTGGCACAGTCAGGGGCTGAGTAATCCTATGACTGATTGCAGGCTGGAGA